TGTGTGTGTGTGTATGTGTATGTGTGTGTGTGTATGTGTGCGTGTGTGTGTGTGTGTGTGTTGTGTGTGTGTGTGTATGTGTGCGTGTGTGTGTATGTGTGCGTGTATGTGTATGTGTGTGTGTTGTGTGTGTACACGTGTTTTCGAATCATACAATATTTTACATCAAATCAACCAATATTTTACATCAAATACAACTATTAAAACAACTGCGTGCATTTAAAATCTTCCAACACGATTATATTGCCAATTCTGTATCATTGAAGCACACAGTATGCGCACCTATGATGTATGATCCCAGCAAGATTGTAAGAATTATGAAGTATCGCACATATCGTGCCGCCATCATACTGCTATCTTTCCATCAAAGAACAGTTTCTGCTGTCGGTCACTTCTATCCTTATTTTCTTTAGGGTGATGCGATGTTAGTAATTTATAAAAGAATGGTATCATCGTGCATGTGATCGTATGTATCCCGCTCAAAGTATTTATAGAAAATGAATTTATACCCTCATTAGGAACTGCCGAGGCGGAGGAAGGTGAAACCGGAAGTGCACCTAATAAAGCATTATATTCGTTTTCTTGCACATATTTTTTTATATAAATACTTGGATCCCAGATTTTTACTGGACTCTGGGTTTTATCAGGTTGGTCATTATTTGTTTTAAAAAATATATTTTGTATTGTTTTTTTGGGAGTGGTTTTTTTTAATATTTTGTTTTTCCTTTACATTTTTTACAAAAACAACAAATATTTGTATGTAGAGTGGGACAAGTGACAACGGCAAGACTCCAACAAGAGACGAGTGACGACCCAGAGTTAAAATCTTCCCCTGATCCCCTCCGTATTTATTTATTTTAATATCCTTATGCACTAGGTTTTTCGGTTGATGTGCAAATTTTTTTCACCCACAATTTTCCCCACAGGTTATATAAACAGAGGATATCAATTCTGTTCATAAGTTGTCCAAATAGGTTATGGGCGATAATATAGATGGAAGACTTTGTGCTATAGATTGAGGCTGAAGTGCCCACCCCAGACGAAGGATAGACTTCCCCTCTGGGTACAGCGACCTACCCCACCGATCTACCGTTTCCCATCGCCCGGAAGCCAGCGCCCGGAAACCTACCTCATAACTCATCGACCTGTAGTTGCCACCACCACACCACCCATAATGTTATCCACAATTGACAAGGATCACTGCAAGCGGACTTGGGACTATCCTAGATATCTCCGGCTCCAAGTATGATACCTGGAAGACGGACTTTTACCTAGCCGCGGCCACCGACTATACCTCTGACCTTCGTCCACTGCTCGAATACGTAGCTCCTGCCACTGAAATGGCAGTATCGCAGTTTGCTATCGCCGCGAATGAGTATACCATTGTGAGATATTAATTCGCCACGTTCACTGTAAACAGTGTACTACATTCTCTTCTGATTACACTTGAGATCATTCTCTGCCCGGTCTTCCCGTCGCTTATCAAGAACAGAATAAAGTTGCCATTTTAGGCCGATCTGCCAGCACGTCTATTCAAGATTCTTGCTTATACATAGAAGAATAGAAGGTCATGAACAACATCTGGCCATACACTGTCAAAAACGTAGCTCTGGCAAAGTTGATTCTATCAACTCTCAGGTCAAAGCTTGAACACCAAATAAATGATAAACAGGGAATCATAGTACAGAACACGCCTGTTATTCCTATAAAAGAGATATGAGGCAATACTCACTTACATACATAAGGATAATATTCTTTATTTCAAAAATGGCAAGTATGAATAATACAATGTATGAACATATGGTATGGCTCTCATAGTCACTGTAGTAGTTCAGGAAAGATTGATGGGAAGAAGTGGTCAGTAAATTCCCGTTTGAAGCTTGGGCCAAGTAAGTCGACAATGGAAGATATGTGTTGAGTCAATTTGGGCCGGTGTTGACAAAACATTGTTACTATCGAATGTTCCATATATTCCTTTGCTGACCAACTAAGTAGAGTACCCACCTCTGTGGTACGGATCGGGTCTGCGCCGTGTAGTGCCGTGGAATGGGTTAGTGCACAGTACGAAATACCGAGAAGAACCAGGTTATCCGGCATAATCCGGTCGAGAAGCGAGTATGAGGGTAAGCCAATGCCGCACCAGACCACGGATGAATTCGGTATGTGTTGGCTGGCCTGGATCGGAAGTATCATAGTCGGAACCAACAACATACATAGTACCACGAAAATACAGCAGCATGATATATCGATTAACACGCTATCCCTGAACACCGCATCTGACGCACAGTGCCTGCTCGACGATTTCAGTGCTGCGTCTGTTGGTCGACCCGACATCCCTCTGGTCTTCGTATAGAATCTTGTCGCATATTGTATACTACCACAGCAAGGGACTGTACTCACTGCAACCGATACATCGGACCATCTTACAATATTTTGTAGCCAATATACCAATAAAAACAATTTCCCTTGTAAAGTGCATTTTAAACAAGTGGCAAAGATTATAAGTAAACTCTCACCCCACCATTCAACAGAATCTCAGCTATTACTAGATGAAGGAGCACAGCAACCGTCAGCTACCTTGACTCACGGGCTCGCCACAAGCTAACCAACATAGAGCTGTAGAAATACGGCCTCCAGTCAGTCTAAAATATCAAGATCAAATAAGATAACACATTAGTTTTTATTTGTATTTAAAATAATTTAATACAAGTTCTTTTTCCATTATTTACAAAGTGTTCTAAATTCACTTTGATGGCTCCAATAGCCTGCGTATTGTAAAACCCGGGCCTCCACATTAGAATCTTGTAATATAAACGTACCCTTAATAGTACGTAAACGTACTCTTAAAAGTACGTAAACTCTTAAATGGTTTTTAACGGTTTTTATTAATTAAATACCTTTTCCATTTTACATATCAGATATTTGGACAAGGCCATTAAAAGGTCCCAGTAAAATACGAAATATAAGATTTGGTCTAGTTCTATTAATAGAACTATATTAACCTTCCAAATCTATTTATATCTGAATACTTCGGTAGCGAGATGGCCCAAACGAACATAGGTTTCTAGGGACTAATAGCGTTGCTTAGTTTATCCTCCGTTTTTAGGGTTTAGGGTTTAGGGGAAGGCTAAGTCGGTAATTCTTGATAAGTGGCAAGTTATTGGTTAATGCAATAACTATGGACATCAAGAGTATTTTTCTTTTTCTTTTTCTTTTCTTTTTTTTCTTCTAAAGATAGGATTTTATGAGTCTCTCGGATTCGCCCCAACGAAACATACCATAGTTTCTATTAGAGCGACAACGAAACACTAAATAAAACCCCTTCGGCGGCGAAAACAGTACTGAGAGGATTATATATAGGCAAAGTCTCAGCCTCACAATCCCTCAGAGTATTGCTGTTTTCACGAGGCATACCTAACTTTACTAAAAGACTCCTTTCGTTTATTTATTTTTAAATTTTAATATACTTAGACTTAACCTAAGCGTTTATTTACTTTAAGGCGTTAATATCGCCTTAATAGACCGAAACTTACAGTATTTGGTATGACTCATTTACTTGGACCTATTTGAGACAATAGTAGTTGTAGGATATTATAAACTAAATTTTATAGTCTCTGAACTACTACTTACAGGTTTTGGTCTTCCCGCCAATCTCCAAAATCCAATAAGTATTTTTCTTTTTTATAACTTTTCTTCAGATGGAACTTTATTTATATTAGCTAATGTATTAACTTGACTTACGTTCTTATGTCTATCTACAAATTAGACATGTGGTCATGAAAACTTAGTACTTCTAGTGGAAATTATTCAATAAAGAACAGCTAGAGGTACGTCCTGTGTGATCGAGGATATTAAGGCTCTTACCAAGAGGCAGTCCCAATCATTCGTACACAAGCTACCACTGCTAAATCCTAACTGACTTAAATTGTATCTTAGTTTATATAACATAGTTTAAAACAGAAATATCCATCGAAGTTTACATTTTTTTCAGTTACCTAGTAGTTACCGTAGTGTACTACTTCTAGACTGTCTATACTATCCAGTGACATAACTGTAAGTATTCTATACTACCTCATAGTGGCTAATACTACCCTAGTGTTAGCTACACGCTAGTTACTATACCTAGACTTTATTAATTTTCTTATTCTTGAGCTATTACTATGGCTAAAGGAAGTTCTGAAGCCAAGGGAGCCGCCAGCTCTAAGCCTGCTAAGCCTGTTGAGGTTCCTGAGGGTACTGGGGACGCTGGTCCGTCTGGTACTGATCATGTCGTTGAAGCTGTAGAGGAAGCCGTTACTGAGCTTGGTTCTGAGGAAAACTCTGAGGATGACTCGTCGGACCCTAAAGCCTTGCATGTGGAGGTCTCAACTGCCGTGGAAAGGCTCGCCAGCGTCCGTGTGTCTCCTGGTAGGGATAATTTTATTTATTTCAAAAAAAGATAAGTTACAATGTATGTATGTTATAATGTATGAACATACGGTATGTATGTTACAATGTATGAACATACGGTATGGCTCTCATAGCCGTTGTAGTGGTTCGGAAAAGATCGATGGGAATAAGTGGTCAGTAAATTCCCGTTTGAAGCTTGGGCCAAGTGAGTCGACGATGGAGGATATGCGCTGAGTCAATTCGGGCCAGTGCTGATGAAACACTGATACAATCGAATGTGCCATGTATTCGCTTGCTGACCTACAAAGTAGCGTACCCACCTCTGTGGTACGGACCGGGTCTGCGCCGTGTAGTGCCGGGGAAGTGGTTGGTGCAGAGTACGAAATACCTAGTAGGACCAGGTTATCCGTCATAATTCTGTCGAGGAGCAAGGATGGGGGTGCGCCAATGCCGTACCAGACCACTGATGCATTCGGTATGTGCTGGTTGGCCTGAATCGGAAGTATCATAGGCGGGACCAACAAGCGCGATGATTTGGTTTGAACCAAAATTTGGAAGTAGTACTTCAAGAGCGTGATTAGCCGGGGTATGGGGAACATCTGTTGATGTGTCAGAGACGGGTGAGGGTACGGTGGTTCTTCCACATGCTGGAGAAAAGATCCAAGGTGTTTGTGGAGGGTCCAGATACCATGGAAGTCGTGGCACTCTTGTAATTGCTGGAGGAGGTCAGGGCCAATGGGCGGCAGTTTCGGGCCTACCAGGATGCATCGAACCAGTTGTTGGATGCAGGTACATAATTTTGTTGAGGAGCGAGGATGGGGGTGAGCCAATGTCGCACCAGACCACTGATGCATTCGGTATGTGCTGGCTGGCCTAGATCGGAAATA